TCAGAACCGACTCGGGGCAGTGAGTTTGGGTTTTGGTTGGGGCTGTAACGAAAGAGAAGAGGCAAGAACAGAGGAAGGGCCCCTATGGGGCAGGCCGAGCCCCTGCCACCTCTGCTCGGAGCTGACCACCTTGCTGGGGAGCAGGAGCAGTTCAGAGTAGGGTTGACAGTGGGGCGGCCCTCCTTCCTGCCCCACAGGCCACACAGAAAGCCCAGGAGCTGCTGGCACGGCACAAGCCGGGGCCTCTGATTGTGGACACCGTCCCCGCTGAGTCCCTCTCAGTGAGTGTTGGGGCAGGGGAGGCAGAGGAGCTGCTCCCGGGGCTGGGGGCTGGGGACAGGCACTCTGGGAAGCCCTGGGGTTGCCCACCTGCCCTCCCTGCCCAGGTGCTGGCGAAGGTGGTGCGGCAGCTGTGTGAGCAGGCCCCCCGCACGTCCGCCCTGCTGCTTAGCCCCCAGCCCCTGGGCAAGGTGCTGTGTGCCTGTCAAGTGGCCCAGGTAAGGACAGCAGCTCTGGAGCAGCCCCGCCCACAGCTCCAGGTCCCTGGTCCCACTCCCAGGCTTCACCCCTGTCATTCTAAGGCTGGCACAGGAGATCTCGAGGGACAGGTCAAGCTCCATCCACAGCCCTGCTCCAGCTTAATCCAGCCAGAGCCCTTCACACACACACTCTCTCCTTCCCAAGCCACAAAGAGCTGGCAGGCAGCCATCACCCTCCCTGCACACTGCCCGGCCAGCCCTCCTCCCGGCTCCTCCCCAGCTCCCTCCCCATGGCTGGCTGACTTGGGTGGAGAGACAGAATGAGGATCACCTGCCACTCCATCCCCCCACTCCCACCCCTGGTCCTTTCATGCCCAGAGAGGTTGCTCTCCACTCTACTGCCTCCCATCTGTTTCTCCCCCAGGGTGCCACACCCACCTTCACAGCAGAGGCCTGGGCCCTGGCTGTGTGCAGCCACATGGGGGGCAAGGCTTGGGGCTCCCAAGTCGTGGCCCAGGGCACCGGGAGCACCGCCGACCTGGACACTGCCCTCAGCACAGCCCGAGCCTATGCCCTCCGCCAGCTCTGAGCCAGGCCCAGCCGGGGCTCGTGTGAACAGAGAAACAGTGGCCGACCAGTGGCTGCCGGGAGTCCTGAGGAGCCCACAGAGCTGCCCAGAGAGACAGCAGAGAGCCAGCGGCTGAGCCAGAGAGAGCCGCCCTGACTGGGCCCGCCTGCGCTGCGTAGATGGGGACTGAGAAGGCAGACGTGAACCCAGAGACACTACTGCTTGGTGGCTGTGACTGCTCATTAAAAAGCATTTCACAGGGGCTGGAAAGCTAGAAGAGTCTTCTGTGTAACAAAAGCAGACCTGCTTCCCAGCAACCTGGCAGGTGTGGCCTGCCTGGGCCCCTACCCCCACCCTTCACACCGGGCCAAGAGACCACCCAGGGTCCAAAATTGGCACCCACAGAGCTTGTTTTCCCAACAGCCAGTGGGGCCCCAGAACTCTCGTGAAAATCACGGCAACGGCAGAGCAGCCCACCCTGCTGCTACTGCGTTTCCAGTGAAGGAGCTGGCGCTTTGTTGAGAAGCCGGGCAGCAGGTGCCGGTGCTTTGCTGAGAACTGGCAAGGAGCAAGCCAGACAAATGCTCCCCTTTGAGGGGAAGCGGGCAGTGACGCGTCTGTGGGGGAAACAAAGTGGAAGGCCATCAGGGTGCTGACTACTCTGCAGAGGACCACACCACAAGGGCCTGGACACAGCGGGAGGAGGCGTGCACCGGGAAAGACTCCAGGCTTACTGGTCAGAGGCTGGTGGGACACCTTGGTCACCCTTCAGGCCTGGAACTTTTAGAATAATCAGCCATTTAAGATCAAAAGGGCAACACTGACCCACAGAAAACTTTCAGAGGTTAAGACAAGAGGAATGGGAACAGGAAAGGGGAAGTGGGGTGGGTGGAGTTGGTACGTTGGGATTGCAATGGATGGGTTGAAACCAGAGAACAGCAGACCACTAGTCTCAAAAGTGGGAGGAGCAAGAGCCTGCAGACCCAGGAGGCTAGGGAGTGGGTCCGGCGGGGCTCGGCGGGGATCGGGTCTGCCCAGTGGGCACAGGAAGCTGGGAGAGTGGTAGGTGATGGAGCCTGAGGCCAGACCAAGCCCGTTCTTGGAGACCAGTTCCCAGCCTGAGAAGCAGTTCCCAGCCTGAGAAGCTGCAGACCGGCTAATTGGCAACTGGAAGCAAGAAGCCGAGAGATGGATGGAGGGAAGACTGCGCCTTTGCAGCCAGGGCTGAGCCAGATGCTAACAGGCCGCCGCTGCTCCCCCACGCTGCTCCCCCACATTTACCCCGGGAAGGGAGGTCAGGGGGCCCAGCGACCAGGCCGGTCCATGAGACTGGCCTGACTTCCCCCTCCCAAGGCCTCGCCCCTGAGGTGCCCTGTGCCCAGTGCCTGACTGCCCTCAGGAGTTGCAGGGGCTTCGCGGCTTCGCGCAGGGTCCGGGTAACTGATCCCGTGATCACCCCACCCCCACCCCGGGGGCCGACCCTCGATGCCCCACGTCTTTTTCCCTCCTTCCTGCGTCGGGGCGGGACACCAGCCTAGTTTAGGGCCGGCAGAAAGGTGGGAGGCGCCACTGCCCGGAGACCGTGCGTATGCCGACACCCCCACCCACCCCACTGCGTCCTGGTCCCGCCCCCTGGCAACGCTGGGGCGTCCCTAACGACAGTGGGCGCTGGGGGGCCTGCGTGAAGGCGAGCGCTGGGTTCCGGCTCCAGGCCTCGAAGGCGCAGGTGAGACGACCTCCGGGTCAGGGACCGCTCAGCCCCCTTGCCAGGACACCCTTTCTAAGGTTCATGTCTCCCTGGGCCCCAGACAGAAATCCCACGTCCTCAGCCCACGCAGGCCGAACCCTGCGGTGGGCATCACCTTCGACTCCCCATAGCCCCTGTGGGGGGAAGGGCCAGTCTGTACCCCCCAGAAGACCTCCTCCCGTTGGGGTGAACCCTTCCTCTTCCACACCCTCCACCCCTTGCTGGGTCTCAGCCACCCCACCGCAGACTGTCCTGTGAAGGGGGGTGGGCAACCGGAGAGGGACCGAGGGAAAGGGGCTTTCGTTATGGCTTAGAGCGGAGGGACCCTAAACCCAAGGGTTTCAGTCTGATGATGGCCTTTGGCCCTCCAGGCCGGAAACTTGCCCTCCCTCTGCCTCCGCTGGTTTCCCCGGGTTACCAGATCACCCAGGAGGACCCACTGACCTTTGGAACTTGACCTTCCCTGCTGGGGTCTGAGCTGAAGGGAGGGGGCGAGCCTCTGGAGCCCCTCCGGACAACAGACCCAATCGAGTAGCAGGGGAGGGGGGAGCGGCAAGGGGGGTGCTGAGCTGAGCCTGAGCCCTGAGAAACGTTTCCACCGCTAAGAGGAGCCCTGGTGAAAGTGGTTCCAAGTCGAGCTGCTAACCACAGGTCCACCGTTTGAAACTACCAGCTGCTCTGAGGGAGACAGGTGGGCCTTTCTACTCCTGGAAGACAGTGGTTCTCAACCTGTGGGTCACGACCCCTTGGGGTTGTCAAAGGACACTTTCACAAGGGTCGTCCGATTCGTAACAGTAGCAAAATGACAGTGATGAAGTAACAGCGAGCATAATTTCATGGTTGGGGGTCCGCATCACATGAGGAACGGTCTGAAAGGGTCGCCGCATGAGGAAGGTTGAGAACCGCTGCCGGAAGAAGTCAGTCCGGAAAGCTCCCCGGGGTAGTTCCGTTCTGTCCTGCAGGGTCTGTGAGTCCGAATCCGCTCCATGAAGTGTGTGCTTTTTGTCTGTGTGCTGGTGTTTGTTTTTTCCACAAACTGGAAAATCCTACCTGGGAACTGAGGTGTGACTTGCCCCATGTCCTGGCAGACATAAAAGGGAGCACTCTGGGGGTGGTGTAGACAAAGCCCAAGGCTCCCAGCCAGAGAGAGGTCTGGGGAGAGCTCCTTAGGGGGCCCTTGGAAGTGGAGAGGCTAGCCAATAAGGCAGAGACTAGTCAGCGAGGAGGTGGGGAACTGAAGGGGCACTGGTAAGCAAATGTGAAGAAAGCTGATGGTGTCCGGCTATCAAAATATATAGCATCTGGGGTCTTAAAGGCTTGAAGATAAACAAGC